GACACATTTCAGGAAAGATATGGACAAATAGGAGGAAGTCCAGAGAAGAGCAACAAAAATGATTAAAGATCTAGAAAACATGACCTATGAGGAAAGATTGAAAAAATTGGGTTTGCTTAGTCTGGAGAACACTGATAGGGGACATGATAACAGTTTTCAAGTACATAAAAGGTTGTTACAAAGAGGAGGGAGAAAAATTGTTTTCCTTAACTACTGAGGACAGGACAAGAAGCAATGTGGTTAAATTGCAGCAAGGGTGGTTTAGGTTGGACATGAGGAAAAATTTCCTAACTGTCAGGGTGGTTAAGCACTGGAATAAATTGCTTCGTCATTTGAGATTTTTAAGAGCAGGTTAGACAAACACCTGTCAGGGATGGTCTAGATAATACTTAGTCCTGCCCTGCTCTCGAGGTCCCTTCCAGTCCTACACTTCTTTGATTCTATAATTACATACTCTTGTCAATTGGGTGTGTGATTTTATACTGAAATGGTTATACTGGTAGAAGCGCTAGTGTGGCTGCAGTTATACTGGTATAACTATGCCTGATACCAGGATACCTTATAGGAATAAGCACCTCTATACCAATATAACCGCATCCACACTTGAGTGGGGAGGTACCACTTTAGGGTATGTCTTCACTACCCGCCGATCCGGCGGGTAGCAATCGGTCTATCGGGGATCGACTTACCGCGTCTCGTGAGGACGCGGTAAAATCGATCCCTGATCGCTCTGCCGTCGACTCCGGAAATCCACCTCGGCAAGAGGCGGCAGCGGAGTCGGCGGCAGCGCGGCAGCGGTCGACTTTCCCCTGTCCTCACCGCCAGGTAAGCCGACCTAAAATACGCAACTTCAGCTACGGTATTCACGTAGCTGAAGTTGCGTATCTTAGGTCGGAACCCCGCTGTAGTGTAGACCCAGCCTTAGTTATACCAGTATTGTTAAATCAGTACAAAATTTGGGTGCAGATACGACCTAAGCTCAGAGAAGCTGACTGATTCATGAAGTGAGATTGGCAGAGCTTATTTCACTGAGAGCTGGGGTTGGGGAAAGTGGTGGTGGGGGGTCTGAATCATTTGACAGGCTCTGTTTTCCTCTCAGTTCCAGCTTGGAGTTTATGTTTCCTTGGCAGGAAGCAGAGAAAGTTCGCCAGAGGGAAGAGGAGGGAAGAAGGGAATTTGAGAGATGGAAAGAGGAGGAGAGAACAAAGTTTCAGGAGGAAATGGATGGCCTGCGGCAGTTGTTCCTGACAGAATTCAAGGACATTGCCAGCAAGAACTCTGCCTTGGAAGGGGTGAGTGAAATGTGAGGGTTAATGTTCTTCGGTTGAAACAGATGCCCAGCTTTCCCCCTGGCATGTGTGTTGGCTTCAATAAGTCCCATTGCTTTTTCTCTCTAATGCCGTCAGATCAGAACAAAATATCAAAGGTTGGCAAGGATGTTTTTCATCCACAGGCTGATAAGTGTAGCTCCCCTTTATACCAATGGGGAAGGTGAAGGAGTATCACACAAGGAAATGTCAGTGAAACTAGGAAGCAAAAAAATTGGCTTAAAATAGTGCTGGGAACCCAAACGAGTGACAGCAGGAAATGAGGCTGCAAGGGGCGCTGAACATGCTCAGTGGAGTCAGTGGGATTTCAGAGCTCGGTGACCTGTGTATTCCAGCCCTGCAGTAGCCCTGGCATTTTAATTTGCCCCATTGCACCCCAGTTTGGCAACACGGATGAGTCTCTCTCGGAATGGGGACAAATATTGACCTGTTCAAGGAAACTCCTTACCATGCCCTGCCATGTCGTGTACAACATCAAGCCAGGATTGCTTGTGTCTAGTTCAGTTCCATTGTTATTTTTATGGTAAGTCTCACCTAAAGGAAAACAATATTCTAAGGTCAAGCACTCCCATCTGACAGGCAATGCAGCAGTTTGATAAGTGAGTCGCAGGTGTCAGGGTTCGAGTCACTTCCCCATCAGGTACCATTGCTAGCTGGTATCCGACACGGGTAGAAATATTTCCTTCCATCCTCTCCAGAAACTGCAGGAGCTGCAGGCCAAAAACCTGGTGGCGTCCAATCTGGGGGTCCTGCGGGATGATGACTCTGATGACAAGCGGCAGTGGGCACTGACTCAGAGAGAGCTCCAGGGCATGAGGGAGAAGACTGAATTACAGGTGAGGAAGTGCCTCCAGCTGCAGCAGCCCGTTTGGTTCTGATCAGTTCCCCATCAGCCAGCTGTGGGGAACCTCCCCTATGACTGCGCAATATAGCGCAAGGCAGAGGAAACCCAGTAACGCCCCTTGCATGGAATTTCATGGGACACTAGGGCTCACATTCAGGATAGCACTGGGCACATGCTTAATTTTTAGCATGTTCTTAATCCCAAGTGCTTTCCTGAATCATGGTCTGCGTGTGTTTTCCAATCTGCACAGCTCTGCAGAAGGGTTATAAGCCCTCATGCTCCAGTGCATAACTGACCTCTAATTCATGGGGGAGAGAAGCTTTCCTTGGGGCAGCTTAAGCCATAACCACCCCTTGCAGGGGTTCCTGCACCATCCACTGAAACAACTTCGTGACAGGCTATTGGAGTAGATAGAGCCCTGGTCTGATCCGATCTGGCAATTCCTGTGTGCCTATGAGGTGAAATTTTAAGACATAGCTCTTGCTCTCTACCCATGCAGAGGTGAAAGTAAGCCGGTACGGTCTGGTACGGCATACCGGCAAGAGCCAGTACACCGTGCCGGACTGGACTGGCTTCTCCGGTGGTGATTTAAAGGGCCCAGGGCTCCAGCCGCTGTGGGGAGTCCCAGGCCCTTTAAATCGCTGCCGGAGCCCCAGGGCAGCGGCAGCAGGGCTAGGGCGGTGATTTAAAGGGCCCAGGGCTCTGGCCACTACGGGGAGCCCCGGCCATTTAAAGCACCGCCCGAGCCCCGCTGCCAGAGCTCCGCAGCAGCCGGAGCCCCGGGCCCTTTAAAGCGCTGCCGGAGCCTTGCCGCCACTACGCCAGCAGCGGCAGGGCTCTGGCGGCGCTTTAAAGGGCCCAGGACTCCCCGCAGTGGCAGGAGCACCGGGCCCTTTAAATCCCCACCCGAGCCCTGCAGCGCCAGGGTAGCGGCGGCAGGGCTCCCGCGGTGATTTAAAGGGCCCGGAGCTCTGCGGCGGCCGGAGCCCTGGGCCCTTTAATTCGCTCCTCAGCCCTGGGGCTCCCAGCCGCCTCTGCAGCTGATAGCTCTGGGGTGATTTAAAGGCCCTGGGGCTCCCAGCCACAGCCGGCACCCCAGGGCCTTTAAATCTTGAAAGGCCCTGCCTCTTCTGGTTGAGGTCATGCCTCTTCCAGTTGAGGCCACGCCCTCGCTCAGGACTCCGGCATACCGGTAAGTCCTTTAAGTTACTTTCACCCCTGTACCCACAGTACATGCACAGTGGAATGGTCCATTCTTCCTGCAGATGTTATTCCATTGGACAAAGGCTCCATCTGTCCAAAGTGAGGATTTAGAATATCTGACCGAGCAAGCTCACTGATTACATGGCCCCATTGCTCTCTTTTCTGCTCGATGTTTGCATGCTGTGGCAAGGTTAAGTTTGGTGGAAGACAGTCTGAACAGACATCCTCTAGAGGCAAAAGCCATAGGCATGCATTGCATGGTTGACCATGCTTTTTATTTTAGACACAGTCATGGGCCAGCTGAAATATAGAACCTCCAGTCTCCTGTCCCCTCTGCTAAGTTATGGGGCTGTTCACCATCCTTCCAGTTAGTGAAGCTGTAAATAGTGAAGCTGCCAGTGGCTCCCAGTGGCTATTACAATATATTTGACTACAGTTGTTTGACTACACACATGGCTCGTAAAACATTCACGAGACCAAAGAACCAAATTTATTGTCTAAAGACAAAGCAGTAGAATACGAAAATGAGAAATACATGCCATTCTTCCAAGGAGCAAATTCTCACAGTGGATTCACCTTACACAGAAGGTGTGCTTCCCCAATGCCTCCTTAAACTAGCCATCTCTTATAGCGTGGCTGTTCACATGTTACAAAACACTATTCACATCACTTAAAGTTTAACTAGCCAGCGTTGTCTTTGGTGCCTCACTGTACTTTTCCATCTGTAGTTTGACCTTTACATTCCAGACATTAAGGGGCATGAAGATACTCCCCACTACAATGCATTCATACATCTTACATTATTGTCTTGTACCTTTGTTTCATAACACTCATCCAGCTAGCTTTTGACAGTTTTTAAATTTCCTTATGCCAAGTACTGAACTAGATTTGTCCCAGGGCATCATGGGATATCTGGCTTAGCATAAGTGAGCAAGAATAAGCATAGTACAATTTAACAATCTATACCCTGTACATAATACTATTAACGTGGTGTATGGGTGAGTGTGTAAAAAATAACCTATATGCATTGGCTAACAAATAACGGGGGATTACAAGAGCACAAGAATACTGGTGACAGCCCCTCTTACTCAGCCGTGGCCTCTATGCCATAGTGTGGTTGGAGGAAGAGCCCTATACCAGGTTTAAGGCTGCCCTGAAACTGTCTTATGAGGTCCAAAGGTCAAGCCAGAGAAAGCTAGGTAGCTTGGAGAATGGAAACATTAGGAGGTGCTCCTATGCACGAGCCTTAACCTCTGAAACTTTGAATAACAGTAATGGTGAATAATGGCACAGTCGTGGCAAAGTGAATGAGAAGAAAAAACAAAGGTATTTTTGATTTGTCAGAAAACAGAATGGAAGAAGAAGCTGAAGGAGCTTCAGAAGGAGCACCAGGTGGAAAAGGAAGAGGTAAGTACCAGACGGAAGCTAAAAGCGATGACTCAGAATTCTCCTATGGGTAGCACGTCAGTCATGAGCTCCTGAGGCACACAGTAAGATCCTGCTTGCGCCACCCGGACTCACATCTTACAGACACATTTGTAGAAGGTTTTTTCTGCCTCAGTTTAACACATCAGCAATATTAGACCACATCAGCTGCACAGAGCTCCCTCAGCAGAATTCAGCCCATCCACTAGAAACAAGGAAGATAGCCCCGCAATGTAGTGCAAAGGCTGAATAGTAACTACACCTCTACCCGATATAATGCGGTCCTATATAACCCAAATTCAGATATAACGCAGTAAAGCAGCGCTCCGGGGGACCGGGCTGCTTTACCTCGTTATATCCGAATTCGTGTTACTGTAAGAGGTTCCTCTGCGCCCGCGTTACTTGCTGCGGCCCTCCCCGGGCCTCTCGCCCCAGCTCACCTCCGCTCCGCCTCCTCCCACGAGCGTGCTGCAGCTCCGCTTCTCCTCCCTCCCAGGCTTGCCGTGCCAATCAGCTGTTTGGCACGGCAAGCCTGGAAAGG